TGCTCTTTTCTTTTGGTTACACTCAGCCTCGTCTTTTTTTTTTTTGGGAGCTTCTTAGTCACCCTATATCTTATTGATTTTGTGTTCAGAATAGAATTTTCACATTTGTTGAATTATGGCCTTAAGCTAAACTGCATGCTGATAAATTTTACTATAGTTTCTTGACATCTTTGAACTGCTAAGCTGGTCATTCTGAACCAAAAAGTGAACTTTACCAATATTTGCTGGTTGACATTTAAAAGATGTGCTCAGAATTAGTTAATCTAGCTTACTCGTCCAGAAAATTAAGTTAAACTTTCTTACATAACTTTTCTGATTCAGGTTTTAAACGGGCTACTCAGTAGGGATAACCAGAAAGAAGCAATTTCAATTCCAATTGGAATCATTCCTGCTGGTTCTGATAATTCTCTGGTCTGGACTGTGCTTGGAGTTAGAGATCCCGTGTCCGCTGCCATAGCAATTGTCAAGGTATGCTTCATCTCTCTTGATGCGTCTTCATGCTGATTATAGGTTACAAAAGATGCGTGCTTGCTCCAGTACAAACAAAAATACTATGCTAGGATTAAGGAGCTAACAAAGTCAAAAAATTGATCAGTGCTATTTACAGAAGTTAAGTTACTCCAACTGAACAAATTAAGCAAACATCTAGCCTTCAGGGAATGATTTGGAGTTGATTCCATCAAAACATCCAAAATATTATTTGAAATATATCACTACTGCTGCTAGGTTATCTACTCCTTTTATGTAGTGTCGACTTCTTGTTTCAGGGAGGGCTTACAGCTACAGATGTTTTTGCTGTCGAGTGGGTTCAAAGTGGTAGAATTCACTTTGGGACGACTGTCACCTACTTTGGCTTTGTAAGCGATGGTACTAAATCTTTTAATTCCTAGCAGTTATTAATGTTTATGCTTTACAATAGTTTGGTAAGATAATCATGTGCTATGATAACTTTGTGATTATTACCTATAAAAATGCAGATACTTGAGTAGGGTAAGATAAGGAGTCGGACACGAAAGAGGAAGTTTGGAAACCTAGGGTATGCATTATCCTAGAACACGATTATTGACATTTGATCTTTCATATGGCCTAAAATGTCTAAATCAAGAACTATAATAAATATTTATCAACAAATCATAACGTGCCTATATCACTGAAAATGTCCCAGATGACAGAGTTTGCTAGGATTACTTAACAAAAGAAGAGTCTATCAAACTTAACATTCAGTTACGTGAAAGCATCTCAAATTATGTGTTTGCTTAAGACTCAAGGCAACTCCTTTTTTTCCTTTTTTCTTTTTCGAGTTTTGTCTACTGTTCTTTCTATCTCCTTTTACTTCTGTGTTTTAATTGAATAATTTGTTGTTATTACATTTAAAATGCATACTATCTGCCCTTTCTAATATATTTTGGCTCCAAAATTATGAATTGGGAAAAATGGATAATTATCTTGCCTTCTTTTTGTATTCCAACTGCGGGATCCTGTTCCTTCTTGAATAGATGGTGCCTAAATACAAGGAAAAATTTTGGATGCAACTAACTGGATTGATATTGTAACTTGTAAGAGCATTTGTGCCTGACGATTACACTAAAAACATGCATAGATTTGGTGTATGTGCTTCATAACTTGTCACTTGAAAAGCTGACATGTATCATCTGGGTTATGGTTTTATGGAGAAGTTTTTGCTGCAGATTATTATAGGTATTGCCCTCGTTTCCTCTCAGATACAATGGGAACTATCTTGTTGGACTCTGCATTAGTAAATATTGTGAGCTGCCTTTGGGAGGGTATCCTCTTTGAACTATTAGCTTTGCCGTAACAGAAGAAGATAAATAAAAAGGTTATTAAGACTTAAGTAATTTTGAGAATGTAAAAGGTTGATTTGTTGATTGAAAAGGTTGGCATGTTGGCTGTCTGGCTTCGGTCTAGTGGTGAGAGCACAACTGTGACGTGTGGGTGAGGCTGAGGCACATGTCACGGGTTCGAACCGTGCTGCAAACAAAAGCTTGGTATTTAAGTAGATACAGGTAGAGGGGCTGATTACCAAGTCCCGAACCGTGTGCCATTGACTGTCGAAGATTTCTCGGTTATCAAAAAAAAGAAAAAAGGAACAGGTTGCCGCGTCTCTTTGAATTCTCTACGTTCCATTGTTGTAGCAGTAGCAGTTGTGTTTTGCATGGATATTTAGTATTTATTAGTATAATATGGTATCTCTGTCTGAATTGCATATATTTTCAGATAGTAAGTGTACTTCAATTATCTATTGTAGTGCTGGAACTATCTGAGAAATACCAGAAGCGGTTTGGTCCATTGCGCTACTTTGTTGCTGGTTTCCTCAAATTCATGTGCTTACCAAAGTACAGTTTTGAAGTGGAATATCTTCCAGCGCAGAAAGAAGCAACTGGAGAAGGGAAAGGTTTGGTTGAGAGGGAAGTCATTGATATGTCTGAATTGTACACAGACATCATGAGGAGATCAAGCAAGGAAGGGCTTCCCAGAGCCTCTAGCTTATCAAGTATTGATTCAATAATGACCCCAAGTAGAATGTCCGCAGCAGACTTGGATACTACATGTAGTAGCACTGAGCCATCAGAATATGTGCGCGCCATTGATGCAAAATCTAAGCGTTTATCTGCCGGACGGAGTGGTAATACAACTTCTGAACCAGAAGTTATCCATCCTCAGCTTCCACTTTCAGCAACCCCGAATTGGCCCAGGACTAGGTCTAAATCAAGAACAGATAAAGGATGGAGTGGGTTGACTGCTACAAATGACCCCACTAGATCTTCTTGGGCAAATACAACTACAAATGATAAAGAGGATATCTCATCAACGATGTCAGACCCTGGCCCAATTTGGGAGACGGAACCAAGATGGGACACAGAACCTCATTGGAATATGGAAAATCCTATTGAATTGCCTGGACCAGCAGATGACACTGAAGATGCTGTGCGGAAGGATATCGTCCAGAAGTCTGCAGAAGAATGGGTGACTACCAAAGGTCAATTTCTTGGTGTCCTGGTATGCAACCATTCGTGCAAAACTGTTCAAAGCTTAAGTTCACAGGTTGTGGCCCCAAAAGCAGAGCCTGATGATAACACGTTAGATCTGTTGTTGGTCCATGGAAGTGGAAGACTGAAGCTTATAAGGTTCTTCTTGCGTCTGCAAATGGGCCGACATCTTTCCCTCCCATACGTTGAATATGTCAAGGTAAAGCAGCAAATGGATTTTGGATGCAAAATACTGTTTTTTTTCCTACTAAGGCAGAGAGTTTTTGAGTGCATTAATACAGGTTTCCCGTCTACATGGAGGCCATTACTGTACGGATATTTTCAAAACATCAATCTACTTAGTAAAGATAAACTGCCCCAAGAAACTTACAGTTTCAGTTTAGAGCTCGCCCATCTTTTTCAGAAAATCTGGTTTAGAGACTTATAATGAGGTTTTGTTGGTTGGTGCTCACTGAATTCAAAATAAGCTTCATTCCTATGCAATGCAGGTTAAAGCAGTAAAGATTAAGCCCGGAAAGCACTCACACAGTAGCTGTGGTATTGATGGGGAACTTTTCCCAGTAAACGAGCAAGTGATTTCGTCCTTGCTTCCAGAACAGTGCAGGCTTATTGGTCGTGCCCCAGGTAATTGCAAGTGATTGATGCAGTCCCTGTATATCTTCAATAGGTCTCTCTACCTTCCGGCTACAGCATTAAGCTCTTTATTTGTCATTGAGGTCCTTGTAAATTTTGTCAATGTTGCTTACATTTTTTCAAATTATATGTCAGCTTATATATTAACGTGTACCCTTGTCGTAACTTGTATTAATGCCTTTGAGAGTTGGCTTTGTAGTTTGTATGGATATTGGCCTTATTCCTTGTACTCTTTTGACAAAGCGTGTAAATTATTGGTTTGCGTTTGTTGAGGAAGGAACTTTCACTCTTTTGGTTATCTAACACTTACCCTCTATCCCCCTCTTTGCTCCATTAGACCAAGTCGTCTCCNTCTTGACGTTTTTTAATTATTTGTTGAATTTTTCTTTTTTCTTATGCAACTAGCCATATAATTTGTTAAATTTGCTAATACATATATTTTTCGCATAAATAATATGTAACTTCCTGTATAATTTAATGCATGCATTATTTGATATTGACAAGCAAATGCTACATTAAGTAATGCAGCGATTATTTTTCTTATGCAACTAGCCAGACTTCGTATTATTTTATATGCAGGGTTTTCTTACACCATGCAATGCCAAATGATTTTAGATGGTAAAATAAATGATTTAAACCCAAATATTTACTGACTAAACTATTTATTCTTTTGTATATTTAATTGAATTACATCGTAAGATTGAAATATTTTTATAAATATAAATTTAAAGGCTCCTAGCAAGATGAGAAATTCTTAGGCATTACTTAGAAACAAATATAAGAAAACACAAAACTCCTCTGTAGAACCTCCATTAAGGTTAATCAAACCTTGATATTTTAGTTACAAAATTAAGATGAATTACTCACTCCAAGAGATTCACGTTCAGAATTTATGTACGTACTAGTGTGTTTCAGGATTTCCAAATTGCTTGAGGAAAAAAAAGTTATAAATATACACTGAATAATTGTATCGTTAATTTAATCCAATCAGTTATACAAATAATTAATTGAATTCCATCAGTTATAACAAATAATTACTTTAATTATCATATTAAGCTACTATGTAAATTATTTGTTTTTCTTTATTTCTAAGTCGGTGCATAATAAAACTTAAAAAAAGAAGAAGAGAATTTCATCAGGTTACATCCTCTCCGATCCTAAATGGTGCATTAAACATTAATGGGTTTGTACTATATAACTTGAACTCAAACTCAAACTACTCTTATCAATATTTGTACTGTTCTTTAGCAAGATGAAAATTTACTACACGTGCATTAAAGGAGTTGTACTTGTAGCATACTGCTCCAGATGTGTATGTAGATGAAAATTTCCCCGGCATTAACAGGAATACCCCCCAAAAAAAAAAAGAAAAAGAAAAACCCGTCAGTAAAGCTTCCGTCTTCCTCCTTAACTCAACTATTAACCCCACCCACCCCCATTTTCTCCCTCCTTCTCTCTCTAAACCCTTACTAACTCTCTCTCTCTCTCTCTCTCTCTCTACACTCTTCTTCCTCGTTGGATCTGCAAGTACAATATCTGTACCTACTTCAATTTCCATTCATCAATCAAACCCGGATTTAATTATCCCAAATTTCTGCCCAATTGTTGAGGCAGAAAGAGGTTAATATTTATTGATTGTTTGATTGTAGTATTAATTTTATTATTATGAGAGTACCTTGTTGTTCAGTTTGTCAGAATAGGTATGACGAGGAGGAGCGTTGCCCTTTGCTGCTCCAATGCGGTCATGGATTTTGCAGGGAGTGTCTTTCTAGAATGTTCTCTGCTTCGCCGGATACTAGCTTATCGTGCCCCAGGTGTCGCCACGTGTCCCTTGTGGGCAACTCCGTTACTGCCCTAAAAAAGAACTACGCGATCCTCGCTTTAATCCGCGACTCTAGTTCCAGGTACTCAAGCGATGATGAGGAAGATGAAGAAGAGGGGGGCTTCAATGAGAATGGTGATGATAATGAGGAGAACGATTCGAGAAGGAGGCATGGCGCCCGTGCTGCGTCCAGCTCGGGTTGTGGGGGTGGGAGGATAGAGGTGGGTGCTCATCACGAAGTTAGGTTGATTAGGAGGATAGGTGGTGAGTCCAAGAGGCATGGAGTAGAGATGTGGGCAGCAACTGTTTCTGGTAGTGGTGGTGGTGGTCGGGGCCGGTGTAGGCATAAAGTGGCGGTGAAGAAGGTGGGAGTTGGAGAGGAAATGGATGTGGTGTGGGTTCAAGAGAAGTTGGAGAAGTTGAGGCGGGAGTCTATGTGGTGTAGAAATGTGTGTGCTTTTCATGGTGTCTCCAAATTAGAAAGAAGCTTGTGCTTGATTATGGATAGGTGTAAAGGATCTGTACAGACCGAGATGCAGCGCAACGAAGGCCGTCTCACTCTTGAGCAAATTCTGAGGTATAATGTGTGATTTTTCGATAAAGGGTTACTCCTGTTTCCATTTGATTCATTACCTTGTTGATTATGTTGTTCCAAATTTTGGAGGTTTAGTAGAGAATTGAAAAAGAAACAGGAATTTATGAGTAATCGAGCTCTAAAATTATGTGAGAACTTTGGCATCCTTTATCTATCACATGCACTTTACAATGCTCATCAAAAGCGGAAATGTTGTCATCTCTTGCTGTCTTGCATTTGATGTTTCATATGCCCAAACTTTGATGAGATACATGAAATTGTGGAGATACTAACAAGAACGGGAAAAATAGTAGCATCACCTCCTGATTTGCAAGAAATCCTCATCTCAGAGAATGACATTTTGAGAAAGTAGGAACTAGCTTTCAGTAAACGCTACTCCAAGAAAAAAGAAAAAAAACATTATTAAAACAACAACAACAATAACTACACCTAAATCCCACGCCAGTTAGGGTCAGTATATGAATCGTCAATTCCTCACTGGCCAGGATTCTCCATTAAACTCATCTCAAGCCAATATTAAACAAACTAAAAATAAAAGAAAAAGCACTAGAATTTCTATATATTTTTATTGGCATATAACTCTCTGACAAGACTAAAAGACAACCAGGAAGTATAGGACCTAAAATAAATGTACTAACATGACTAAAACATATTCCAAATTAATCGATTTTTTTGTTTTTGATGATGATGGTGTCTGGGCCAACTTGGACACACCTCTCCTAACCGGGTATGTGCAACCTCCCACTAGCACAGGTACGAGTGAGAAGAAATAACCTACCTAGTATTTTTATATTGCCTATATTGATCTTGTTCCTCCATTTGTGCCATCTTGGAAGCAATATATATATATATATATAGGCGACAACAATTAGTTGAAAATATAATAAACATTATTATATTTATTGTTTTCTTCATTTAGAGTAAATCGCTATATGAGATCATCCTGTCTATACTTACCAAAAATAAAAAAAACAAATTATTCTGCCTATTGGCAGAATAAATCAAATGAGCTAAAGCTACCACGATAGAAAGCTGTACTAACATAGACAAAGTGGAAATGGCGGGTTGAATTGAAGTATCCACTATCAAGGTGTAAAAGCAATGAACTATCTGTAAGCAGAATGGAAGAGAGAGGGCTGAGTCTAAGTATCCTAGGTGTCTATCTTTTGATTTTAAATGAAGAAGTAAAAGAGAACTACCTTGTAGTGCGTGACAAACTTTAAACAACTGAAACTTTTTCCACTTAGACAATTCAATAGTTCAAGACCACATTGTTTGCTAGACTGATTGGAAAATTTTTTTGGAAAAAGAAATTTGTCATGCTTAGCATTACTATACTAATAACAACAACAATAATGCTTCAGGCCCAAATACGTTGGGTCGACTATATGAATCCTCAATGACTATGTTTCTCCAATTAAAATTCATCTCGGGCCAGCATTATATAAAATAAAAATAAAAATAGATAGATAATGGTGGTGCTCGGTCCAGTATGCGCACACTCGACTAATCACTGGGCACGTGCTACTGCTACCGCCAATTAGCACATCTATAACATAGGTATTGGGTAACAATGCCCGCCAAAGTTTAGGTAGATGGAAGAAAACACAAAAGCACCTAGTGTTTTTCCTTGTCTTTGGTGGGATTAGGACCATCCCTGGACTTCCATGGCTTTTCCCACTTTAATTACTATTAGGCCATACAAAGATGCTTATATTTGTTTTGATACATATAAGTTCATTGATATGGTGGGGAAGAAAACCCCGATATTCAAGTTTGTACACAAAGGTGGTGAACCGACACCAAGACATTGTTCTCCATAAATCACACCGAGTCGTCCATGCTAGATGGGACCTCGTGGGTGCACCAAAAGATCACCAAACCCAAAAAATTTGTCCTAGTTAGTGCAACAGTATTCTCCATCTTCTCAGAAGCTCTCATGTTTTTCTTTCCATAGTATCCACATTAGCTCCGAAGGAGCTACATCCCATGCTCGACGTCTTTTCTTTTTCCGACGTCTGAATGCCCAGCTGGACATAACATCTTTCATCGCAGCTGGCATTATCCAATGAATACCAAAGTGATTCACTGCTGTGCACTATAACTGGCTCGCTGTCTGAGAGTGTATTAGTTGGTGATTCACTTCCCCTGAGATGCTGATATGTCGACAGTTTAATCGGGGGTTTTGCACTAATGACGGGTTTGTTGTACTTGATACTGTTAGTAATACAGCATTCATATCACCAGTCCTCTTCTTTTTATGCTGTCAAAATAGCGTCTTAAAGTGCAAGAAATCTTGATAGTTTCACTATCAGTTGATACATCATTATGAAGCTTGATCTTCACACTGCATGGTGCAGTTCTTCTGTCTCATCAAACAATATCAGCATAAGCCTGTTTGTTAGCTGTAGAAGCATAAAGGTATGGGAAAGGTTCTATATAGAAGGTGCAAGACCCAGCTGACAAGTTTTTTGAAGCTTTTGTATGAAATGCGATTGACAAACTCAACTATAATTGACAGTTCTTTTATGACAAGAGGGGTTGCTCTGATGGTAAGCAACCTCCACTTCCAACCAAGAGGTTGTGAGTTCGAGTCTCCCCAAGAGCAAGGTGGGAAGTTCTTGAAGGGAAGGATGCCGGGGGTCTATTTGGAAACAGCCTCTCTACCCCAGGGTAGGGGTAAGGTCTGCGTACACACTACCCTCCCCAGACCCCACTAAGTGGGATTATACTGGGTGGTTGTTGTTGTTGTTGTTGTTTCTGCACTTCTATTGCGTGGGAGCTCTGGAAGCTTTTCTATATAAGCTAAGCCAGTCACCAGTGTTCCCCAATTAAATTATGATCTTTACATCCTCGATAAATGAAAGGGTAAAACAATAAAGAAATGAATTTGGTTAGCCATCTTAGAATTTTAGGGCTTGAATCAACTTTTCGAACTGTAAAACTTATCAAAATTCTAGCTTACAGATGCCCTAGAGAGTCAGCAAGAGTTCAATTCCCAACCAGTGCTTCCCTTCTCCATCGCCTTTTCCTCTTCCCTGGGCTCCTCATTGCTTGTAAAGTTGTACTAAGAAAAGAGTCCAGTCTCCAGATGTACATGCAATTGATCTAGCCACTTTTCTGTATGTAGTCTGTTTGAGATAGTGCCTTTAGCATTTCACGTATCTCCTAGCATTGATATATTATCCCATCTTAAATGCAGATATGGAGCAGACATTGCACGTGGGGTGGCTGAGCTTCATGCAGCTGGTATTGTCTGCATGAATATTAAGCCGTCCAATCTTCTTTTAGATGAAAATGGTCATGCTGTGGTCTCTGATTATGGACTTCCAGCAATTCTAAAGAAGCCTGCCTGTAGGAAAGCTAGATTGGAGTGTGAGTCCTCAATAACCCATTCATGCATGGATTGTACAATGCTTAGCCCAAACTACACTGCTCCAGAAGCATGGGAGCCTGTAAAGAAATCAATTAATCTTTTCTGGGATGGTGCCATTGGTATATCTCCGGAATCAGATGCCTGGAGCTTTGGTTGTACATTGGTGGAAATGTGCACTGGTTCTATTCCGTAAGTGACTGAACTTAACGTTCTTCGATGTGTCACTTCTACCATGTTTTAGCATATAAGTTATTCTACTCCATGTGATGATTTATTTAGAGAACCCTTTGTCATTCTTATGCAGATGGGCTGGCTTAAATGCAGAGGAAATTTATCGGGCTGTTATAAAGGCAAGGAGACAACCTCCTCAATATGCAAGTGTAGTGGGTGTTGGAATACCGCCAGAGTTGTGGAAGATGATTGGTGAGTGTCTGCAGTTCAAGGCTTCCAAGAGACCAACTTTTAGTTCAATGTTAGCCACATTTCTTCGCCACTTGCAAGAGATCCCTCGCAGCCCTCCTGCCAGCCCTGATAAGTAAGAACATTTAGTTAAGCTGATATTTTGTAACAGGATTGTCATATGAACATGGTTAGCTGTTGGAAGGTAGCATTTAACACTTGATTATCTTGCTTCTTAAGCTGCAGCAGTGCTCTTTGTGTTCCTTATTCTGATTGTTAAAGATTAATGTTTTACAGTTGCTTTTGAGTTTAATCATTGGCCGTTCAGATAAATGTTGCTTATTATCTGTAAAAATGCAGTAACTTGCAGTACTTGGGAACGAATGGTGTAGTGCCATCTGCTACGTATCAATTGGAGGTTTCTCTTGATGATCCCAGTCTTCTACACAGACTCATTTCTGAAGGCAATGTAAATGGAGTTCGGTAAGTCTTAACGTGTTTTTCAAGTAGTAGGTATCATATTTTGCAAAATCATCAAAGAGACTACCAGAAATTTGAAAGGAACATTTTCATAACTCAAACAAAAGAAAAAAAAGGAGAAGAAAAGGAAGAAAGAAAAAAGATTCAGGTCATCAAGTTTTTTTCTATTTGGAAAGGGAATTTATAGAAGTTACTTGTGCTTAATGCACATATCCCTTCAAGAAATTTTAGGAACATTATTCGCTATATCTGTCTTTTTGCAACTTCTGGCAGTTCTCCTAAAAATTATTTTTCCTATATACTTCATCTCTTTTACTCATCTCGACGCAGAGACTTGCTAGCGAAGACTATTTCAGGACAAAGTATTAGCTCTTTCTGTTCTCTACTGGAGGCGCAAAATGCTGATGGGCAAACTGCTCTCCACCTTGCTTGTAGACGAGGAAGTGTTGAACTTGTTGAGGCCATTCTGGAATACGCGCAGGCAAATGTGGATGTCCTAGACAAAGATGGTGATCCGCCCCTTGTGTTTGCTCTCGCTGCTGGATCACCTGAATGTGTTCGTGCTCTTATCAGGAGGCACGCCAATGTGAGATCGAGACTGAGAGAGGGGCTTGGTCCGTCCGTTGCTCATGTCTGTGCATACCATGGCCAACCAGATTGCATGCGTGTAGGTCTCTTGTCCTTTTATGTGTATGTTGAGAAAGATGTTAGGCTGAAACTGAAATGTGGAGGAACAAATGGAAAGTCAAGCTACTAAAGAGATGAGATTTAAATAGCGAGATAAGATGAAAATGCAATTTTAGGTTAGAAAAGTAAACTAAAAGGCTTTCCTAGAGATGACGTTTTGATTTCTTATTCGTCCTCTTGTCCTTCCCCTACTCTGCCCCACGTCCTCTAATCTTCTGCTATAAAAAGTAGAGCAAAACAAAATCCATGAGGTTCTATAGTCCAATTTGAGATTTATAGTTGTTCACTGGTAAAAGCTCCTACTTTGCATTTCAGGTCTCCAAGGTTTGTCCTTAGCAGGCCTTTCTATTCTCTCTTCAGTAACCCCCCCCCTNAAATGGAGGCTGTAAATCAATGGCTATCTTGAACTCCAAAAATTTGACGTAAGTTCAAATATGATTCTTATTCATTCCTCGAAATATTTTTGGAAATAAAATTCTAGTAGGGGAACCCTATAGTTGGAAGCGTGGAAAAAATTAGGATAGAGAAAAGTGCAAAAGAAATCTAATATGAAATCATAGGAAAACAAGATGAAAAGAGAATCTCGGTGGTTCTCGGAGTTTCAAAATTAAAGTACAAGTTTCTTATCTTGCGTAAAGAATACCTTGTAAATGATAGTGACTCCATACTTGACATCATAGAATCCCTGTAAGTTTTTGCTGTAGGGGGATTCTTATCTTTTTTGTTTTTTCTTGGAGTATGTATTTTGTCACTTTTTTTTGGGAATGATAACATTGTGTTCATCAGTACAAAATGTACTGGCAACAGTATTTACAAGCTACAGCCCTTGTGTACTTTACAAGGCTTCCAAAAATTGCAAAATAGATTCAGCATCTACTACAGAAAACTCTTTACACCAAAAGTGAAGATCTAAAATGTATTTTGTCACTTTTAACTGCACAATCTTTGTGATGTTCTTTATAAAATGTTATCATTCTAAAAAAAGTACTACTTTCTAAATTTGTGTCTCCCAAGGAGTAGAGTATAGCTTGCTAAATTCTTTTAGGTTATTTCCCCCTTTAAGACTCTTAAGTCAGTAAGATTTATTAATTCATTCAAATATGAAGATCTATAGGAAGGGAATTCATGAAGAAAAGAGCTTGCTTTTGAGTGAAATTCCTTTACTTCATCAAAAATAATTCATGAAGAAATTACTCGAAGTTTACTAGGAAAAGCATGGGCCTTTCCTTTGCAAGAAGACTTTGTGGTCCACTTGTTTGACTTATGGTGTCTTAGATGGAACCAAATTGAGCTTGTGGCATCTTTAAGTTAAAGAACGGCGCTTGAAAAAAATTGTTGGACCTGAGTTATCATATTAAAACTATTTTAAGGAATTTGATGTGACCCCTTCTATGTACTTAGAAGGTGCTTTATAATTTATCTACTGGGTTCTAGTGTCACTATCATGTCTTTATTGTATTATATACATTAGGGGGTCCTGTATATTGTCCGAATTAAGTCTTATTCATTGAAACAAAACAGAGAGTTAGTTATTAAATATCTCTTTCGATGTGTTTCACATTTTTAATCACTCAAATTTGTCAAAATTGCAGTAATCATGAATTTCCAAAGAGAATAGTTGGGATAATAGTAATAAGAAGATTAATTATGTGGCTAATGGGTTTACTCTGGGATGATCTATGCGTGGAACAATGATGATAGGTTATTTGGTAATCTTGCAGCTTTTTCAGGTGCATCCATATAAGTTTACTATTGGAAACTGCTCTTTAAATCTGCTGCTTCTACTTTAGTTGTTAATAGTTTGGCTTTTTAATCAGCAATGGAGGAAAATTGGCTGCTTGTGAAGGGTGATGCTTGAGCATGTTTTGGCCTTATATTTTCTTTGATCTCCTCCCCTCTTTCACACGTGGTGCATATTTTGTGTCTTGCCTTCTACAGGCCACTGCACTTGTGCATCGTGACTTGGAATGTTGCTGTTGTCAAGAAGTGGGTGGAACTTGCATCTATTGAAGAGATCGCTGATGCTATTGATATTCCAAGTCCTGTTGGTACTGCACTGTGCATGGCAGCAGCCTTAAAGAAAGATCGTGAAGCAGGTGAGTATGACACTCTTTTTACAGGGATGAACATAAATGTAGTTGTTTTTACAAGATATAGCAGTTGATAGTACCTCTTTTTTACTTCCTTTTTACTAGCTGTACCTGTTCTTGTTTTCTTGTTACCAGTAATCTTGCGTACTTTTTGTAGAGGGAAGAGAACTGGTACGTTTGATTTTAGCTGCTGGAGCAGATCCAGCTGCACAAGACACACAACATTTTCGAACTGCTTTGCACACTGCTGCTATGATAAACGATGTTGAGTTGGTCAAGGTAGGCTGATATGTACTTGAGTTTGACCAGTGCTATTTTGGAGAAAATATGCAAATCTTAGGTTGTATGTCCAAGTCGTGCTTCGGCTGGCCAGTAACACTCTTTTTATCATCAGTTCGGTAGTGTCTCATTTTTCGCTGATCTCATGTTAGTCTTCAAGACACTACCCTCTAATGATATTGGTTAGCTCTCTTGCTTTCCATTGATATAGATAAGGAGGGATATCAAAGTATTTTTGAGCGAATAGATGGGGTCATTACTATAAGGATCGAAACTTGATAGTTAATAGATTATAAAAAAAAGGATTGAAACTAATTTTTGACATGGTTTCATGTCGCTCAACTTAAGCTTGCTTTCTACTTGTCAGAAAAAATTTAAAGCTTGCTTCCAACTTAAACTCGTCGAACAGCTTTTTGTTCGACGAGTTAGCTGGGGGAGAGTTCATACAGGATGAGGATTCTTAATCTTGTTTTGATAGATCAATGATATATAAAATAATTTATATCTTTCCATTCAAGAAGTGACATAAAGGAATAGGTGCAAAAGTAATTTGATTTTCCTATTCTGTTATGCCCCCACTTATTTGAAAACATGCATGTCTTCATGTCCTTGTTAGCGGGTGCATGCCTATGCTGCCAAGTGACTAGTTTCGTAGTTCTGCACAGTAGTCAAGCGAGGTTCTCTTTTTGATTGTAATACTTTTGAAACCATCATTATTTTTATTGTCTCATAATAACCAACTTTTCTTTAGATCATCCTCGATGCTGGAGTTGATGTAAACATCAAGAATGTGAATAATACAATACCTCTTCATGTGGCATTGAATAGAGGTGCGAAATCATGTGTGGGATTGCTTTTGTCTGCTGGGGCAAACTGTAATTTCCAGGTCCGTCCTAATCACTTTTTGGTTCTATCACTTGATACAAATATGTGAATTCGGTCTTTTGGCAGCTACTTTCTGAAAACTTTCCGATTATCTTCTTTGGTCGTCGTATTTTTTATCACTAGAGCACCTAGTATATATAATATTTTCTTCTGGTCTTAATATAATAGACTAATGTAGCAGATTTCCGTAAAGAGTTCAGTTCTTACGCATCTATTGTTAAGAGTGTGATTTTTTTGGGTTGGGAATAATAGATGATTAGAGTTCTATGCATCCTGCTTTCGTGGAGCAAGATGTATTGAGTGTAATGCAAGACAATAAAAATCAGTAAGTATTTAGAAGAGATATTAACTGTAAATCATAACTATATATCATAATTTTTATTTGATAAGGATAATCGTACAATAATGGTAGTACAAACTGTTAATTTGTTTTATTACTGGAAAGAAACCCAAAAACTCTGCACAAGCTCAAGTGCAGGGGTTTGTATTTTTTGCCTTTTTGGCATTAATTTACTGAATGTATGTGATATGTATGCTTTGTTAGAAGTCTTCAGCGCCCTGCCATTATAAAAGGTCCGTCTTTTGCTTTGCACATATCTGCACCTGATGGTGCTGTTATCATACAAAATACGTTACTTGTTAAGGAAAAAAGTTCAAATGTTAATACTACTGCTACTACAAGTCTACAACAACAACAACAATCCAGTAAAATCACACAAGTAGGGTCTGAGGAGGGTAGACTGTACGCAGACCTGACCCCTACCCCAGAGAAGTAGATAGGATGTTTTCGAAAGACCCTTGGCTCAAGAAGACGAAAATAGATAATAGATCAATAATAGCAACAGAAGCCAGAAATATATTATCAGCATCGTAAGAGACAAAATAAATGGAAAAACAATAACAACGACCATTAATAATGCCACAGTACTATAAAAAAGGAAAAATAGTGTGGGCACAACATAAACCACTATCAGTCCAAGTCAAAACACTAACCGACTAGCCCCACCCCCGGAACAAAGAAGAAAAACGCTCGACTGGTGACTGCTTCCTAACCTTCAACTCTAATGCTCGATCCCCACACCTTCCTATCAAGAGCCATGTCCTCGGAAATCTGAAGTCGTGCCATGTTCTGCCTGATCACCTCACCCCAATACTTCTTAGGCCGCCCTCTACCTCTTCTCATACCTGCCAAAGCTAACCGCTCACACCTCCTAACCGGGGCATTTAGGCTTCTCTTCCGCACGTTCCCGACCATCTAAGCCTCGCTTCTCGTAACTTGTCGTCCATGGGAGCCACGCCTACCTTCTCCCGAAAATCTTCATTCCTAATGTTACCCAGCCTAGTATGCCCGCACATCCATCTTAACATCCTTATTTATGCTAATTTCTTTTTCTGGATATGTGAATTCTTGACTAGCCAACACTTAGCCCCATACAACATGGCCGGTCTAACCACCGCTCTATAGAACTTGCCTTTAAGTTTTGGTGGTACATTTTGGTCTCACAAGACTGCAGATGCTAACCTCCATTTGATTCAACCCACCCCTCCCTCTCCACCCCTATACGGTGCGTGACATTCTCGTCGATCTCCCCATCTCCTTAGATAATTGACCCAAGATACTTGAAACTTCCTCTCTGAGGGATGACTTGTGAGTCAAGTCTCACGTCCATGCCCGCTTCCCTTGTCACGTTGTTGAACTTGCACTCTAGATATTTTGTCTTAGTCCTACTCAACTTGAAACCTTTAGAGTCCATGGCCTGTCTCCAAACCTCCAGCCTTTCGTTAAAGCCACTTCAGGACTCATCAATCAGAACTATATCATCAGCAAACAACACACCATGGCACCTCTCCTTGAATATGGTGTGTTAGTGTATCTATCACAGTGTTATCAAAGGCGAAAAGCGCAAAAAAGCTCTAAGGTCCGTTGGGGCTTTAAGCACAAAGCGCAAATAAAGCGTGAGCTTTAATGAAAAAAGGTGCAACGGGAGAAAAAGTAAAAATATGCATGTAGTCCAAGACTAATCATTATAAGCATGAATAACAAATATATAGACAAAGAAATTGAAATTTTTTTTACGATAAAGTGAAATATCAATTGTTTAAGGTCGCCTTTTCAAGATTACGCTCATTGGCAAGGAAAAGTATGTCTTAGAGCTTTGATGCGACACAAAAGCGCCCACAAAGCGAGGCGAAGCGCTCAACGTGTTTTGAGCCTTGCTTCAGGGCTTAAGCGCGCCTTTGACAACACTGATCCATCGGCAGGGCAAATAAGAACGGGTTGAGCGCAAATCCTTGGTGTAACCCCATAACAACCGAAAAATGCTCTGAGTTGCCTCCCACAGTCCTAACCCGAGTCTTAGCTCCACCAAATGTTAATGTGGAGTTTTTTTATTCATTTGGAGCTTCTCAATTCATTTAGTTTTTGCATTATGAAAAGTGTATAGGTAAGGTGTGTGAATAAGGAAGGGAATTAGCTCTGAAGTGAGATGTGGCTATGCAGACATACTTCTAGTCTCATATTGTTTTGAAAAATATTCCTTTGCTTCATTCCCGATGTCTAAATAGAATCCTTAGGTTGTATCAGCGTTTAGGATTGCAGGAACCAAGGTCCAGAATGAAATCTAAGAGAAGCTTTTCTGTTGCAACTTTTGCTGGACTTTGATAACTGCAAAGTGTGAGGTTGAGGAGTTCTTCACTAAGAGATTGGATGTGCAAATCCTCAGCAGATACGGCCCAAACTCGAGACTTTTCTGAATTTTGTAGTTTATGATGGTCTTGGAATTTTTTTGCATAGGTTCCTACTCAAACTAGAATGAGCCTGAAGGAAAATGTACTTTTGCAAATTATTTTGTGAGGCTCATAACCCTGTGTGGGCGCCTCAATGAAAATTAGTGTCAAACATTACGGTCATGGCTCTGTATTTGATTTGCTCATGGCTTTTTAGTTTGCTTTTCAATGCTTATTGATATTTGTTAGTCTATTTCTTATATTCCTCTTTGAGCTAATTTTGTATTTCTCGCTGATATCAGGATGATGAAGGTGATAATGCTTTCCATGTAGCAGCATTCTCTGCCAATATGATACGTGAAAATCTTGATTGGATTGTAATTATGCTCAGGTATCCAGATGCTGCTATTGAAGTTAGGAATCACAGGCAAGTTCCAATTAGCCGTATGGTTCCTTTCTATGGGTTATGCTATCATGGAGACGACTTGTATCTACTTATCAAAAAACACTCTTGTATCTGAGCTTGGCATTAACTTCATCAATGTCTATTGTTGCAGCGGCAAAACTTTATGTGACTATTTGGAGACTCTGCCTCGTGAATGGATTTCAGAAGATTTGATAGAGGCACTTAGGGAGAAGGGGGTCCATTTATCTCCCACAGTGTGAGCAGAAGATTTTTTTTGTTGCTAATTTTTGTCAAATAATATTTGTAAAAATGCTTGTTGATTGTGCTTGAGGTTTTGAAGAGCTGCATGTTCATATGCTATACAGATATGAAGTAGGAGACTGGGTGAAATATAAGAGAAGCATTGTGACACCAACTTATGGGTGGCAAGGTGCAAGACATAAGAGTGTTGGTTTTGTGCAAAATGTCCTTGACAAAGACAATCTCGTTGTGTCCTTTTGCTCTGGGGAAGCTCAAGTACTGGTAGATGAAGTTGTAAAAGTGATTCCATTAGACAGAGGGCAACACGTGAAGCTCAAGCAAGATGTCAAAGAACCAAGGTTTGACTTAACTAAAAACTGTTATCCCGCCGTATTTATAGCAGGGTTATGCGCTTCTTCTTATGTCCTTTTTGCTCTTAGTGCACATAGAAATACCTTGCTTCTATAGGAAATTGTGAGTCAAACAAGCACTGTAAGAAGCAATCCATCCGAAACAGGAAACTTAAGGCAGAGCCTTTTCCCTTAACAATTTCCATGGACATTCCCTTATCCCACTACCTTCCTGCTTTAACATCAAGCTATAACAACTCTCGACTGTGAAAACACCATCATTACTGGCCAACCAGATATGTGAGTTCCTACTATTAGCATCTAAGATTTACTGTTTCCAAAAAGTTCAATAGCTACCAATTTCCCCAATTTCCCATCATTAAAACATCTTCTAGAATGCAACTGCCCACCAGAATCAGAAATTTTATCAGCAACACAACTTTATTTATAGCTATGTTGTACAAAGATCTAACCAAAATCTAATTTNCGGTATTTCCGTTATTTGGTTTCTTAAAAGGCTATACCAATACCATACCATTCGGTATGGTTTGACTTTTCTCCGTTCAGTTTCGATTTTTTCGGTCCGGTAATTTCGGTTTATTCGGGTTGAATATTAACTAGTGCATAGAGTCATAGACTGTAATTTTTTAATTAAAGTACTCAATGAAAACGTTCTAAGCTCACCTGACCGTTGATAAAAATTTTGTCCAAAACCATCAAGTATGAACTAAGAGAAAAAAGGCATAAAGGAATACATTTGATCGTTGGAAATATCATGTTACTTGCTTAGAGTTAACTATTGAAATTAGAGAATACAACGGCTAATCCAACATATGCAACAACAATACAAGAGTAACGGAGTAAAAAACACTCTAAAACCATTGAAATATTATGTTAAGCTACTTGGCAACCTAGAATCTGCATCCTACCTTGTTCCTCTATTTTCCTAAAGAAGTACATGGGCTTTACAACCAACCTCAACATGAATGCCAAAGAAAAGTATTGTGTAACTTAGTATGTTAATCAATAATATCAGTAATGTGTAATTTAGTATATATTTCGGTACGGTATCGGTATTTCGATATTACTTTTTAAAATACCAAATACCATACCAAATTATTTTTAAAAACCTAAACCAAATACCATAACGAATACCGAATTATATACCAAAATTTTCGGTTTCGGTACGGTAATTCGGTATTTACCATATTATGCACAGCCCTAGCCTTAAGCATGATGTTCCTCTGGAACTGCTCCCCATTTTAGGAGGATTAAACAGGATAGTGAGGACAAAAAATGTATTAATTATAAGATTAGTCAAGTTTCCTGTCCCGTAGTTTTGTCTTGCCAATTTCTGCTTACAAGGTTTAAGTTGAAAATTTTCAAGCTGACTCAGGAAAGCATTAGCATTTTTGAGAGGCTAATTGTAACTAGCTTTGCTTTTGCTACAGGTTTGGTTGGCGCGGCCATGCCCATGATAGCATAGGAACTGTATTATGTGTTGATGAGGATGGGGTGCTTCGTGTTGGGTTTCCTGGAGCATCTAGAGGGTGGAAAGCTGATCCTGCGGAAATGGAACGTGTGGAGGAATTTAAGGTTGGAGATTGGGTTCGGATTCGTCCTACACTCACAACAGCTAAACATGGATTTGGATCTGCAACGCCAGGAAGCATTGGTGTAGTGTACTGTATCAAGCCAGACAGTAGTCTGATGGTGGAGCTAAGCTATCTTCCTCATCCATGGCATTGTGAACCAGAAGAGGTTGAACCTGTTGAGCCATTCAGAGTAAGACAAATAACTTCACTGATGTCTGATAGTTCATTACTCCCTTTGTTTCATTTTATATGAAATGTCATGTCATGTTTAAGACCACAAGTTCTGACGGTACTATGCTGAAAGCCCTTTTTTCTTAAACTACAGTGTACATTCAAGTACTACCATACTAAATGAACAGAGAGATTACCTTTTTCAGAATTCCTATTATCCTGTCCCTTGGTTAAATTCTACATTCTGTACCTTTTCACAGATTGCTGATAGGGTCTGTGTGAAGCGCACTGTCGCAGAGCCAAGATATGCTTGGGGTGGTGAAACACATCATAGTGTAGGAAAAATAATTGATATAGAGGCTGATGGTCTGTTGATCATAGAAATCCCCAATCGGCCAATCCCGTGGCAGGCAGATCCTTCTGACATGGAGAAGCTGGAGGATTTCAAGGTAATACTTGTAATTGATCAGTATTTTGTTCTATAATGAGGATGCTAGCTGATGTTGTTGGTAGTTAGGAGCTTTCGTTCTGTTTTGGGGGTTGTGGAAATGAGAATGGAAGAAAAAAGGTTTTGTGTGTGAAATATAAACAGCGTGTTGGTAGCGTTCTCAAACAACTTTGTTTGTTCTGTGCACATTAACAGGTAGGTGACTGGGTAAGGGTAAAAGCTTCAGTTCCCTCACCAAAATATGGTTGGGAGGATATCACGAGGAACAGCGTAGGTATAATACACAGTTTGGAAGAAGATGGTGATGTTGGCATCGCTTTTTGCTTCCGGAGCAAGCCTTTCTCTTGTTCAGTGACAGATGTGGAGAAGGTGCCACCTTTTGAAGTTGGACAAGAAATTCATGTTTTGCCATCCGTTTCTCAGCCCCGACTTGGATGGTCCAGTGAGACACCAGCAACGGTTGGAAAGATTGTAAGAATTGACATGGATGGTGCTCTAAACGTAAGCATGCCTTGCTTGTATCACTTAAAATTTGGTGGAAAGAATCTATTGACCTTATAAGTAGGCATAAAATATAGTGAAGGTTGAATTGACTTCCAATTCATTAGTTATTATTTTTAATGAATTGCTTCAAACCTTAACTACAAGTAATGTGACCTTTGATGCTTTCTAGGTTAAGGTTGCTGGGAGAGACAGTTTGTGGAAGGTTTCTCCTGGAGACGCAGAAAGGCTTTCGGGATTTGAAGTAGGTGATTGGGTACATTCTAAACCAAGCCTGGGAACTAGACCCAGTTATGATTGGTATAGCATTGGGAAAGAAAGTCTAGCGGTTGTGCATAGTGTTCAAGACACTGGTTATTTAGAGCTTGCATGCTGTTTTCGCAAAGGACGCCTGATGACTCATTACACTGACGTTGAAAAGGTTTCTGGATTTCGAATTGGGCAGCATGTTAGGTTTAGGGCTGGGCTGGTAGAACCAAGATGGGGCTGGAGAGGCACTAATCCAGATTCTCGAGGTGTTATAACTGGTGTTAATGCTGATGGAGAAGTTAGGGTTGCATTTTTTGGTTTGCAGTGTCTCTGGAAAGCAGATCCTGCAGACCTTGAGATAGAGCCAACATTTGAAGTCGGAGAGTGGGTCAAGTTGAGAGAGATTGCAAGCGGTTGGAAATCTGTAGGGCCAGGTAGCATTGGAGTTGTGCAAGGAATGAGTTATGAAGGAGATAAGTGGGATGGTAATGTCTTTGTCGCCTTTTGTGGAGAGCAGGACCAATGGGTGGGATATTGCAGCCATCTTGAGAGAGTGAATAAGCTCTTAGTCGGTCAGCGTGTTAGAGTAAGAAACTCTGTAAAGCAGCCAAGGTTTGGGTGGTCAAATCACAGTCATGCAAGTGTTGGAAATATATCAGCAATTGATGCAGATGGCAAATTAAGAATCTACACACCAGCAGGCTCAAAATCTTGGATGCTTGATCCTTCAGAAGTAGACCTTGTTGAGGAAGAGGAAATCCAAGTTGGTGATTGGGTCAGGGTTAGGGAGAATGTGTCTAACCCAACACACCAGTGGGGGGATGTCTGTCATTCTAGTATGGGGGTGGTGCACCGCATAGAAGATGGTGATCTTTGGGTTTCATTCTGCTTTATGGATAGGCTATGGCTCTGCAAGGCCTCGGAAATGGAAAAAATTAGAGCATTTAAAATTGGGGACAAGGTGAAGATCAGAGATGGGCTGGTGGCACCTAGATGGGGATGGGGGATGGAGACGCATGCGAGTAGAGGTGAGGTTGTTGGAGTAGATGCTAATGGGAAGCTAAGAATTAAATTTCAATGGAGAGAAGGGCGGCCATGGATTGGAGACCCTGCTGATATTACTCTTGATGAGCGCAATGATCAGTGAAACATTTGTCTTTTTTACTTCTCCTATCACTAGATAATGGGCAGGGCAACCCTTAGCCTGTTTTATATATATGGGAGGCAGTCACTGTGCTGGCTGTGCGATGGCGTTAGAGGCTGCCCCAGGGCAGTTGACAGCCATGAGGACGGATGTACCCAGAGAAGACGTGATGACGGAGAGATGGGTAAAAGGTTACAAAGAAGCTGGGATGGATTTGGGGTCATTGCTGAAGTTAGATGTGGTCATCGTTGGGGCCCGCATTGGAGATTTTTCTGCATAATGAGTGTTTCCTTTAGCTGCATTAACAGGAATATGTTTGTTTTCTATTCTGTACAAATCACAAGGAAATTTTTGGGTCTCATAGCTTTCAAACATAGTTCACTTACACTAGATTTGAACATTTCTCTCCTCTATCTTGTCATTTAAAAAATGCTGAGGCCACTGCTCATAATCTTGTAAAATTTTATTTAGCCGTTTGAATAGAGAAGCATGTGAATTTAATGCCTTTCCTCTTATATTGGTGAACTTAGAGTATTGGGTCTCAAAGAATCCTTCCTTCATGTTCGGAGTTTTATGAAATGTCTGTTCAAACTTGTGAAATTAAAGGACAAAACTTAGGTACCTAAATTATAGAGATAGAAAATGCGTTTTTCCCAAAGCTAAAATTATTTGTGCACGGTATTAAATCCAAATTATTTTTAACGACTATAGTTGAAATGCTCATGGCATATAATATAAATTCAGAATCTAACTATCAACTCCTTCAACCAACTGCGAGTTTATAATTCAAGATCAAACTATCAAACCTTAAATCAAAATCCAGCTTAATCAAATTCAAAGACCAGCTAGCTAGCCTTTGAGAACATCCGTGAAGAGTAAAGAACACTCTGTTTCAATTTAGAGAGCTTGTAAATACTCATTTCTATTTTAACATCAGAAAATGCATTTTGTTGCACTACTTGTTCTAATTATTTTAGATGCAAAATTTGTGTTACAAGTATTACAACTGCTAGGCAGACACCAAACCTGAGATTCAAAAAGAAATTGCTGAGACATAATATTGAGCTCCAGTAAAGAGCATGACATGCACAGTTCCACTAACAAAGAACCTAATGAATTATTCATCACAGATCATTATTGATGATGTCCCGCATCATTTGTATTGGGATGAGTCCTTCAGTTCTAATAGCATCCTTATTTGGATCTGGACTTATGAAATACAACGTTGGTAGTCCTCGAACCTGAGAAAGGATTATTTCAGTTAGCAGACAGCTTTGCAAATTCTGGACAGATAGTCATATTTACTTGCAGAATATGTGATGAGAACAAGGAGTTCTGATAAATCTCAAGTATGCACACGAGTGACGGGGGAGAAAACAGATCTTTTTCTTCATAATTGGTAGTAGTAGTTTTGAAATAGACCAAATTTTGATTCAAAGCAGAAGGGTGGTAAGTGGTTGTACCTGCATATCACGTGCAAATTCGTATTCATCATCTGTGTCCACTTTCACAATAAGTGCATTGCTTTCATACTCTACAGCAAGCTGTCAGATGAAATTGCAATTATACTACAGAATAATTTTGCAAACCAAAATAACATATTTATCAAGCGAGATAGTATCCCTAAAGCAATTAGTTCTGATTAGAACAATTTTGACGTTAGGAAAAGATAACCTAGTGTGTGTAGCAAGATATCACTGACCTCCCAGCAGAACTACTTCAAATGGACCTCAACTAAGGATAAAAAAGCATATGTCTCAAATCAGTAATGCCGTGATTCTCTTCTTATTAGTAGAAAGATAAACTCTAATAGCAAAGACCTCTGAGCTATATACAGATACACACATAAAAGTGCAGCCAGGTGCACAAAGCTCCCGCTATGTGCAGGGTCCCGGGAAGGGCCGTACCACAAGGGTCTATTGTACGCAGCCTTACCCTGTATTTCTGCAAGAGGCTGTTTCCACGGCTTGAACCCATGACCTCCTTGAATTAGATTGCATGATCTCCAATCTTGCAATCACATAAACAGAGGGGTGTTTACTCTTGCTTATTCCAATTCAAGAGGATAAAGTTAATAAAAGCTAGAAGTAAGTGAATCCTTTGATTGCGATTTGTGACGTGCTATTTATTTTAGGCTTTCAGGTACAGTCCTCTGAAAAATTACGCACTTAAACAAAATGTTAAGGTTTACACCAATCTTCTTTCGAATACAAAAGTAGGTAAAAGTTACTGGACAGCAGACCATAAATTTGTTGTTTATAGCTTCTCAACTTAAAATGTTTCAATGTACAAACTTTTAATTCTAAAGAAGTTTGCAACAAGAATAGTTATTCTTTAGCTGATAGTTCTCTTTTACTGCATAGAAGCACTCATCCATTTAACACAAACCCTCTGCTCGTAGAGACTTTAACCGCTCCACATATTAATACTAGCTAGATAATGGACGATTTGCACCACCATCAATGTGACATAGTTAAATAAGCAACTAGGAAAAGTGAATATCACTAACATCTCAATATGCACTTTGTCTACCATTCTACTTATATTCATTTCTCACAGAAACCATGAACTCTTAAGAAAAGGCCCACACAAGTTTTTTTCCCCAAGCAAGTGAAAGCTACGGTAGATTGACGATTACACAGCTATTATAATCACCTGAGATTTGTCTCTATCTTTTCAACAATTGAGTGTAGGCACTTAGAATTGCACAAATTCGACTTGCCATACCTTCAAATATACCATAACAATGAGTATAAGGCTTCCCTAGAGTTCAGAAAGAAAGCCTACCAGGGACCGACAAATGGTGATTATTCCCAAAATTATCCGGACTAACTTACATACACTATCGACTTTGATAGAAAAATGTCCACTCCTTCAAATTTTACCACTTCAAACTGACACCCTCGCTTTTTCCACTCTAAGACCAAGGATGTTTTTGTCCTCATATATGGGGTTTAGATAAACGAAAAGTTTACATTCCATGTAATGATACCCAGTCTATTTGAACTATGGTACAATCCTCTAGAAAATTCATTCCAACAATCCCAACTTTGAACTAATTAAAGCATCTATAGCAGTAACTAAAAAATGCTTAAGACATTGTGGTTTGAAATCAGAACCAACCATTTCAAGTTCTTGAGCCATCAAAATACAAGGACCACACCATGTGGCATAGAAGTCAATAATCAGTGGCACATTCCGTTCTCCCTTTATTAGTTCTTGAATATCTTTTGCAGACACCTTCTTCTGCAATCCCAAAACAATAAATAAAATAAAAGAAATGGAATTAGCAATGTTACATAGTTATGTTCATTAAAAACAAAAGAATTAAAATAATTCACAATACTTTGTTAAAAGAATTAACAAATATAAATGATTCTAACACAGGGGCTAAGTAGAGTTCCTGTCAGTACTTTTTTATCCACTGTTACAGAACCTTATCCACAATGTTCTGCACGAGAAAGCACGCACATACTTCCACCTCCCCAAATTCGTATGAATTTATTTTTTTCGAGCAGAAGAATAAAACCCAATAGTCGAAATTTGGAAATGTTGAATCAAAATTGAGAAGCTAAATGAAATTGAACAACAAAAAAGGAAAGTATACCACAAGATAATCCTCTCTGACATATTTGCCAGTTGCTACAGCTGGGGGTTTGCAAATGGATTTTCTTGAAAGGGTTTGGGTAGAGAGTAGAGAGGGCCTAGGAGTTGGACAAGTGTATGAGAAGAGTGAATATTTACGCTGATTAGAGGAGAAGTGACAAGCTGAAGTTTGGGGTGGCGGAGCCAAAGGGTGAAAAGAGAGGGTCGCAGCTTGCATTCTTAGCTCTCTTTATCTGCTCTGCCTCACTCACTACTCTCTGTGTTTATGTGAAGGGAGAGACTCTGTTAGGGGTTTAAGGGGAGAAGGAGCAAAGAAAGAATTATCCAAAATCTTTTAGAGGCGAAGAGAGGGACTATATAGTAATTCTATATATACCAATCCATAATTAGAATTTTGAATTTTGAAACGCGCTAAAAAGAAGGCACGAAATCTGCGTTTGATTCTTTCCACATTAAATTCGAATTTTGAAATGGAAAGAGATCTCATTGCTGCGTAATTCTCTCGTTCACTACAATTCTAAAACAACGCAAGCTTCAGAAGCTCCAGTACTCAAATTGCTTTTACAAATTCTACAACGCAATACAAATTGTAGAATTCAAAATTGTTCTTCATCGACCTCAGTACTCAAATTGTCGAACCTATATCTGTTCTTCATCTTTTTTCTCTCAACTACACGAAATCATGTCAAAAATCCCAATAATGCTAAAATTGAATGGAAATTGGGATCACTATGGCAGATTTAGAGATTTTGAAGTTGATGCCATTGTGGTAGATGAGAATGCAAGCTACGGAATTCTGATTTCTACAATTGCAGAACAACTATCGATTGATACAT